AAAAAAAAAAAAAAAAAAAGGGGGAAAAGAGGCAGGCAACAGGATGTCCAGCGGGATGTCGGCTGTGCGGGCAGAGGAACGGAGCCCAGAGCGGAGGTGAATGGAGGTGGAGGAAAAAGAAGAGGCGGAGAGGAAAGAGAGAGAGGACATGGCAGGAGGAGGCAGACAGGAGGTGGGCGCAGGCTGAGGGGAGATTGGCAATCCCAATGGCAGGAGGGAGGTCGGCGGAGGCGGACAGAAGGTCTGCACTGGCCGGGGGGAGGTGGGCACACACTGTTTCTTTTTTTTGGTTTCTCTTTCTAAAGGCGGGCAAAGGGATGGCAGATGTGCGGGCAGCGGAACGGCGGCCAGAGGGGCCAGAGGGGAGGTGAGCGAAGGTGGAGAAGTGGACGGAGGCAGAGAGGAGATGGCGGGAGGAGGTGGACGGGAGGTGGCGGAGGCGGAGAGATGGCGGAAGGAGGTGGACGGGAGGTGGCGGAGTCGGAGAGGAGATGGCGGGATGAGATGGCAGGAGGAGACGGATGGGAAGTGGCGGAGGTGGAGAGGAGATGGCGGCACTGGGCGGAGGCCGAGGCTGAGGGCGGTGGCGGAGGCCGCGGGAAGTGGGGGAGGTGGAGAGGAGATGGCGGGAGGAGGCGGACGGGAGGTGGCGGAGGCGGGCGGAGGCCGAGTGGAGGTGGGCAGAGGCCGAGGCTGAGCGCGGTGGCGGAGGCCGCGGGCTCTCTCTCTCTCTCTCTCACACACACACACACACACAGACACACAGAGGGGATAGGGAGGCCGAGGCGGAGAGGAGTCGGCGGGAGGAGATGGTGGGACGAGGCGGATAGGAGGTGGCGGAGGGGGGGGAGGAAAGAGAGGAGATGGTGGGGGGAGGAGGACGGGAGGTGGGTGGAGACAAACGGGACGTGGGCGGAGGTGGGCGAAGGCGGGCAGAGGTGTGCGGAGGCGGAACGGGAAGTGGACTGAGGCCGCGCGGAGGCCAGGGGAAGGTGGGTGGAGGCCGAGGCAGGAGGTGGTGGCGCAGGCCGCGGGCTCTCTCTCTCTCTCTCTCACACACACACACCCACACACACACAGGGGATAGGGAGGCGGGGGCGGAGAGGAGTTGGTGGGACAGATGGCGAAGCAGGCGGACGGGAGGAGGCGGAAAGGAGGTGGGAGAGACGGAGGAGAAGTGGCGGAGGTGGGGGAGCAAAGAGAGAGAGGAGATGGTTGGGGCTGGCAGAGGGGAGGTGGGCACAGACAGAGTCACCTTGGAGGGGCCTTCAAGCACAGCCTTGCAACACTGCACACACGGAGTCACAGGCCGTTGGACTCTAGCGAGGGCACAAAGTTATGGGTCGTTCGATGCAAGCAGGGCCATAGCGCCGCCCGCCCCCCAACGGGCCAATGGCCAGCAGGTGTCAGGGTCGTTCTTTTATGACGGGCCCTCTTTTCAACGAGCGCGATGATCCAGGCCCCCGCGGTCCTACCAGGCCAACGGCTCGGATCATCCCGCGATCTTAAGACTTTAAGATCGTGCACCCCGCCCGACGGTCTGGATCGTCGCGCGATCTTGAAGATCGCGCGGAAATCCCGACCATCGGGCCGGTAGGACTGCGGGCAGCCTGGATAAGCCAATTCTCATGTTAGCGATTTCTGTAAGTGTAGGGATAAGCGCAGGTAGACAGTAGAGGGTTGTACAGATAAGGGTATAGGTGTAGGATATGATGAAGCGGACCTCAGCCTAACTCCAAGCTCTCTTCTCTAGAACTCCTCCCATGTTTCGGCAGAGCTCCTACAATTGTATGGGTGACCTAGGGTCCCACTGAGTAGAAGTCAACCCACAGTCTACTCATGATAGGATCCTGCCAGTTGTCTTCCTCTCAAGGACCCTTGCAACGGAGGAACCACACGGTAGAGGGATAGAGGAGTCTCTCTAAGCTCAAGGATTGAAGAGGGGTCACTCAAGCACTTGCGAGAGGGCCTTCAGATCATGTAAAATCAGGTTGTGTAAGATTGGGCATTCCAGTAGTAACAACACTTGGGAAAGTGCATTGGGGGTCATTGAAGGAATAATAGAGCAGATTGCAATCCTCCACAACTCTGCATATCTCACCTCTATCAAGCACCACGGAGTCGTTGTAATAGATGTCGTACCGAGTGAGCCATCCTCCAGTACTCTGTCCTCCAAATACCCAGACCTATTTCCAAAGGTGCATAAGACAGAAGCACGTCCACATGTTAACAAAGGCGGAAAGGTAACTTTCCATTAAGCAAGGAACCCGTCAATGGAAACTCAAACATTCTGAGTTGTAAAACACAAAGCAAGACAAGCAGATGTGTCGCATGCTGCTGAGCCTGCATGCGAGCCCCATTTCGAGGGCCCGGCGGTTGCTGAGGGCCCCCAGGCCGCACGCCCTTCGGACATGGGCGCTGGAGGCCCGCGGCCAGACTTAGGGCCGCAGGATTCCATTTGAGGCAGCATGCATGTATTTTATACGTTTATTTCCAGGCGCTGTTTTGGACTTGCAGTGCGTCCGAACAGTCTGTTCGGACCAAGGCCACATTTTGGGCATCCTCCATTCGTGGCCAGGCGCTTTCAAGCCAGGTTCGTTTTCGTCCGGTAGCAGACACTCCCTGCTGCATCAGCAGGGAGGGCCTGGATGCCCGGTAGGGACCCGGGCAGGCCGTTTCAGGCCAAGGACCAGAGGCACAACAGCGAGGCCCAGCGCTACATACACCTGGGCCAGGCCAGGGCAGACACACAGTTCGAGTAGCTCACTTCTTGGGCGACATGCTGGTGGAGCAGCGCGACATGCCGCTGCGCTAGGTAGAGCTAGAGGTAAGATAGGAGGTAGAGAGGAGGGGGAGAGGTGGAGGCCATACCTGCAGTCGGCGGAGGACTTACCTGGCCGCCATAGCTGGGTCTTCATGCCATCGACCTGCATGACAGGGGAGCGCCAGCCACTACCGACGGCAGGTGAGATTAGAGGCCGACATTCTTCTTCTTCATCTTCTTCTTTCACAGAGAGAGAGAGAGAGAGAGAGAGAGAGAGAGAGAGAGAGAGAGAGAGAGAGAGAGAGAGGTTACAGGCAGAGGTTGCATCGGGCCATGAGGCCCAGGATGTGATTCAACATTTTGTGGCAGACATTGCTTGGGCATTCAGCAGGGAGACTATTTTTGGACTTCGCTATTGCGATCTTGGTCTTCTCCCTCCCCTCCACCTTCGTATCGCCTCCCCCCCCATCTCCTCATCCGTGGTATCTCCCCATCTGCATGCTCAAGGAGAGACCTTTCTTCGATGTATGTGGTCCCTCACCTCTCTCTCACATGTGTGGTCTATTATGATGGGGTGCCGCATCAGTACCTGACAGATCAGGTCATTTCTTTGAGTCTTCCGTTGCGCTACATTATTCTATTTTCGTACATGACAGGCAGGCCCGGCCGGGCGGCATCCGTACTCAGAATATCTCATGACAGGCGGGCCCGGCCGGGCAGCGTCCGTACTCAGAATATTACAGATGAGAGTAAGCGCAGCAATTTCCAATTTTGAGAAGTGGGATCCCCGAAACATAACTGCGAAGAGAGATTTACTGAAAGAAAGAAATTTGTGGAATCAAATTCCAAAAAATTAACGAAAATCAAAATTTCAGGTACAAGCGTGATACAAAATTTACGAAAAATCGAATTAGCGCAAAGAGAGAATTTTGAAGATCGAAAAGAAACAAATTCGGAATTTACAGTTAGGCAGAAATTCACAAACAGGGTGGGCCGCCCAGGCGGGCAAAAAAACAGCCCAGAATTTTTTATTTTTTTTTTGAAGGTGGGGTCCTCCTGTGCTCGGCGAGAGGACCCCGAATCTGCAATAAAATTCTGGTTTGGGGGGGGGACGAGTTGCCCGGGTGTGAGG